ACATTTGGACGTCGATGTTGGTCATATATATATAAATAAGCTACGCTTAACATCTGAGTGTATCGAAAATTGTTATATTTAACTAGGTCGAAACGTTCGACTTCCTTCTGTTTGAGAAGAAAAAAAACGTATAGTTATTCGTTAAGGATCTTAGATCACTTACGAAATAACTATTAACAAATAAAAACTCAATGTGTGGAACATAAATAGTTAAAAGTTTCATGCAAAATTTTGTTCAGATTCCTAACTGTTTTCACGATAAAAACACTGTTTTGTAACAACAACGCGATTTAAATACAGTACAACAAAATTTCAATACGCAGTAATAATTCAGCGCCTCCTTTCGTTCATATTGCTCTCTAGTAATTCTGTGACAACGAACAGTCACAAACACTTCATATAATATAAAAGAGTCAAACTTTAAGTTATTTGACATAGTATACTTGATTATTTTGGTTAGACACGAATTTGTTTTCGTGAAAATTTCGCATACACGAACCCACTTAAGATTATTGAAATCTTCTTACAAGCATACATCTCTATATATACTACGTTTACATGCGAGAGCAATATGAGGAACCAACATCGATCAGTCTTGGAATTACAATTAGCAATAAAAATCATTACATTTTGCAAAATATATAAATATAGAAGAATAATAACTAAGATCCGTAACTACCTTTGTGATAATTAATAACGCTAATTATCGTATGGGGCCTTACGCGCTGCACAATTCAACGCAAATAAATACGGGCCTCTCTCTCGCTTACTCTCACTCTCTTTCTCTCCAATCCATTATGTTCTCACATTCAATGCCAATGCATAACACCACAATACGCATGCCTCGTGTAAAATAGTTATTGTAAAAAAATCTTATTTTTTTTTGTTTTGTATAACGATCAACACATAAAAAGTGCTTAATGACTCCATTACACTGATCAGTTAGTTCATTATTATCTAATAGTTAATTAGTGTAAGTTGGCAAAAGCATCTCATCGTATAGACTTCTCTTTACGGAAGTTGCTCAGATCTCCAGACAATATGTATCAGTTAATATTACTTACAAATTTCATATTATCTTAAGTAGTTACAGTCTCGAGTCATTGTATTTTAGCGGACTATACGACGAAAATTTTATGAATTAGAACGTACCGCATATCGCGCAAAGTATACAACGTAAAACCATCTTCATTGTTGATATGACAAATTAAACTGTTTATATGATTGTTGATACTAACAGCTAGCACAATACTAGCAGTAAACTCAAGTTTAAACTGTCTATATTAAAATATTTAGTAAATAAGAGAACGAACGAACGAGATCTTTTAAAATGTAAAATGTCTAGATTGTACAATCAAGTTTTCTCATTTCGTTACTCTTCCTTTAGTACTAAATTAGTATTTTCATTAATCGAAATAGTAAAGGAAGATTACGATTTTCAAAGAAAACTAAAAAATAAAAGAATTAGATAAAAGTATTGTGCAACAATACTTTCAATAACATTGATATTGACTAAATGAATTAATTCTCGTTCGTTTTTTTTTAATTCTCGGTATTTACAGGCTCTCGCGCATGATGGATTCTAACATGCTTATTATGGTTCGATTTCGTACCGCTAGACTTCCCGCAAATGTGACACGTATATGGTCTGGCGCCCGAATGTACTCGCAAGTGTTCCTTGAGATAGTATGATCTATGAAATGTTTTGTTGCAAACATCGCAAGTGTATGCTTTGTTCTCTTCGTGCTCTTTGACATGCCTTAGACAATTATACTTTCGTATAAACTGCGCTCCGCAATAGTTGCAAGTATAAGGACGCACGTTCCTATGAGAATTCATGTGAGCAGTATAATCGCTGTGCCGGTAAAATGCGGCACTACACTGATTACACTTGAAAGGTTTGGTGCTACGAGCAGCGTGTGTCCATTTGTGCAATTGTAAGTTCCACTTAGTACTAAACGCCTTGGAGCAAACTTGACATTCATATGGTCTTTCTCCATTATGTACTCGCATATGTACTGCTAAGGAAGATCGCAAATAAATACACTTACATATGGGACATTCAACGTTTTCGCTCTCCCTTTGAGCATCTGGAACGAATCTTCTGTTGTGAGCACGACGCATGTGTCTGGTCAGGCTAGCCATATGAATGAATCTTTCATTGCAGTATGTACACGCTTTGGGCTTATCGTCGTGTGTTTCTTTATGCCAGGCCAATTTCTTTTTCGTATGGAATACCTCGCCGCAGTGACATATATAATCCTTCAATTTCCTTTTTATGTTCAGATGATGTCTATTCTTGTGTTGAGTTAAATTTGAATATCTGCGAAATGTTTCATTGCAGAGATTACACTTAACAGGTGCATTCCCAGTATGCCCATTAGTATGCTCGTCCAACTTCTGCTTAGTTAAAAATGCTTTGTCACAAACAGTACATGGAAACGGCTTTATTCCCAAATGTCGTTTCATGTGTAACTTAAAGTTTTGTTTTCTATAAAAATACTTCCCGCATTGACCACACTCTAACGGATGTATTTTTAGATGTGCATTGAACAACAAAACTGAAGGAAACTCTTCTTGGCATATCTGGCACTTGGTACTGTCACGAACTCGTTTTGAAGTTTCTGTGAGGTGTACTCTTCTGTGGTGTAACTGTAATGATTTTTCACTACTAAATCGTTGGTTGCACAGGGTACAAACTACCTCAATGTTTGATGGTAACACTAAGGTTTCAATCTTTTGATCAGGTTCTACTTTTGCAGTTACATCTGATGATTGCGGTGGCTGGAGCTGATGTAATAGTGGCTGTTGATGATAAACTTGTTGAACATGTAAACCTGGTACAAAAATATCCTCAAATGCGTTCATGCGGCCATCTAGTAATTTGATATCCTTCACCTCTGGTTGATCCGTAGAATCTCTACTACTACTACTAGGTCCAGCTTCTTTGTGCGTAGTAGTACAATGTACTCTGCGTTCTTTCGGACAATCAAATACCTCAGGGCAATGATAACACTTGAATGTTCTTCTTGTTGGAGTTTTCCTATCTCGATCTAGGAAGAGACTGGATGTCAGATGTGTAGCTAAAGATCTACTGTCTAATAACGGTCCACTAATTTCATTGTCGGATCCTTCTGATTCTTCCCAACTTTCACGGGCCATCAAGTCATAAGAAGTTGACATACGTGATGATTCTTGTCCAGCATATAGCTATATATACAATAAAATACATTTTTCAATACAAATATACGATTACTGTAATAAAAATCTGTTTACAATTATAATACTACTTAATAAATATAATATGATTAAACAAAAAATTTAAATATTAATTTAAAAACACTCTGTAATAATAAACAATGTCTTACGATAACTTACATGAAAGCAATACTAATAAAATAAATTTTTTAATTATTAATTTATTTTACAAAATAATAATTATAGATATAAATGAAAAATAAGTTATATGCATACCTGCCAAGCAGATGGTTCAGTACATCCATTGCTTTCCTGTTCGGATAATTCACCTCTAGGTGGCATAGTTTCGTCTGCTCTCATGTTAATGCTCTTTACTTCTTCATCTACACCTATTCCACCTTCACTGCTGGCCATGGATTGCTGACTGGTTGCACTAACAGCTTTTTGTGAAGAATCACTTATAAATGTACTAGGAACTAAGATCTGAAGCCCATCAAATTCGAAAACATTCATTGGACCTGCATGGGCATCTTCATTTAAACTAAGAAGTTCCATTGATGGCTTTTGTATAATTGATTTAGAAGAATGGAAACTCTTTGAATCTGAGCTACTCGCAACATCTATAGATTCTGACAAATTTACAAGATTACTTTTATTTGATGTACCAGTATATGGTTCATATGATGATGTTGATTGTTGTGAAATTGTAGGAAATGAGCTCACATGTTCAGTGATTACAGATTGATATGCTGAATTACCTTCCATTTTCTTCTCACCAGTTTCATTTAAAAAGGCTTCTGATTGATCTACCTTTACATCTTGTTCCATAGATGAACAGTCAATAGGATCTTTTTCTGGTGTTGCATCCATTGCTATATTACTTTCTTCATCATGGCTTATAACGCTATTATCCATGTGACAAAATGAATGTACTGAAGCAGGTGAGCATGGTTTACTGAGATCCTTTCTGACTCTCAATACAGAGATACCACTACTCACAGATAACGGAGTATGCGATCTTACATGATCTGTGCTCTCTCCATATTTGATAAAGGGTGTATGAGGACTTTGAATTTCTTCTATTTCCATGTCTGCTTCATCAAAGTTATCTTCTGTTTCATTTTTTTCATCTTCATCATCTTCTTCATCTTGCAATGTGTTTGCATCAAAACCGACTGGGTAAGAGTTAAGATTTTCATGTGAACCAAACACTGAACGAACAGAATAGGTTGTACGACGACCTTCAGACAAGACTGGCGATGCAGGTGCAGACAAACTGTTCTTATAACGATACGAAAGACTTAAATTCTTATTTTCTTTACTATCTATATCAGTTTCTGAATTTTCGCTAATTTTTAATTCTATATCGGACTTACAACTGCTTTCATGTTCACTAGAACTATTAGCTGTTGTTTCATGAATTACACTTTCCGCTCTCACTGGAGAAGAAGAAGCATTTTCTTTTGGGTCTTCTTCTTTCTTTTTGTCATCTTTACTATTAGATTTTTTATGTGATTCATTATCAAATTCAGATTCCATAATAGTGATTAAAAGACGTTCTAATTGTTCTACTTCAGGTTGAGCTGGGTCTTTTGTTGCACCTTCTATAAGTGTTTGTGATGAGGTACCCCCAATTTCAGTTACTTCTGGGCAAGGAACTTTTTCTGTAGTTGCTTCTTCAGCTTCCTTCTCTGTTGTCACTGGTGATGATGCTTCAGGCATATTAACTTTATTATTATCATCTTCATCTTTGTATCTGTGTATGTATTCTTGTGTATCTGAAGAGTCATATTGAATAGGTTTACATTGAACATCTACATTAACAACACATGAAGTTTCACCTTCTTGAATATCAGGCAATACACTTTCAACTTTATCATCAGTAGTATCTTCAACATTGCAAGTGATCGCCAATGTTCTCGGAATGCTATCGTATTCATTCTGAATAATATCTTGATTTTCACTACCTGAGGTTGGAGACTCCTGTTCTTCAGTTTCTATTTGAATTGTACTAGTCTCACTTTCAGTTTGATGCATAGAATTCTCTTCGTTTAATGATGAAGGCGAAACTGGAAGATTGATATCAGGTAGCACTTGTTCAGATTCTTGTTCAGATTCGGGCAAAATTTCAGGTAAGATCTGTTTTGGCTCGGAATTATTTACAGGTATAGCAATAGCAGTTCTACCATTTGTTTCGCCAGCCACAGTTACTATTGACCTGCCTCTAGACGTATTAGGTATAGTCGTGACTGGTGAGATCATCTGAACAGTTGGTATCTGTTGTTGTTGGTACATACCATATGGATTATATAGCATCTGCATCATTTGATTAGCTTGTGGAGCCATTGCGTATTGTGGTATCATCATAGTGCCATTATTCACAAATTGTTGATAACTAAACGAAGCAAATTGAGGTGGCATCACAGTGCCGATTGGTGGACATTCAAAAATTGGTCCTATAGGATATGGTGACTGAGTTGATAGATGAGTATTCTGTGCAACTGGCGGTGTACTTTGCGGCGATTGTACAGACGGAGAGGCTGGAGGAGCAGATGGCGATAACTGAGTTTGTTGCAACTGTGAGGAATTAGAACTAGCTTTGATAAGGGCTTCAATAACTTGTTCCTTTGGATGAGTGTCCAAATGTCTTTGTAAACTAATACCCTCACGTAAATAGAGGGTACAAACAGGGCAAGCCACTGCACTCCCTGATGTTCCATTGTTTGTAAGATCCATTGTGTCTCAAATATTTTATTTACACATGCAATTTCCGAACTACTACATTGAACACTGCAAGTGTTTTAAAATACTCTGTAAAATATACACGGTGCAGCGGTAACACCACTATCTTTTTTTTCTAATTGACAAGTCTCCGCCGTCACTGCCGTTGTCGTTTCCGTCGTCACAGTCAGTATATTTGTCGTGAGGGTCGTCGTTGTCGTCGTTGTTGACGCCGTTCTCGTCGTTATCGTCGCCGTCTTCGTAATCGTAGTCGGCGTCGTCGTCGCCGCCGTCGTGGCTATCGTTACCGTGGTGGTCGCCGTCGTGATGAATGTTATAATCGTACTGGTCGTACTCGCCGGAATTTGCCCCGTATCGTTAATGCATATCGCCAGCGGCTATTTGCATTTCGGGCCCTATCAGGCCTGCAAGCACGCTTGAACACGGCATATGCACAGCCGACACGTTGCACCAGCCAGTGCCCCAAAAATATCGACGTTCATGGCTACCTGGTTTGTGTGTGCGATGGAGCCAGCAAGGCAGTCGCGGACAAATCAATATCTTATTAAATCGCCAGCCTCCCCTGCTCTTATTAAATTACACCTGCACCATTCACATACCCCCGTAACAAAGCACCTTCCTTAAGCTTGGGTACGATAACTCGCCTTAAGAGTCTTTTGTTTCGCATTCGATTATCGAAACGGCATGTTTTTCGTCTGATTCCAGCCTAAAAACACAACAGAAAACAGTGACGACTGGTATTCCGCCTTAGAATGAGAACAACAAGAGGTCTCACTACAAATGTGGCGCCCCCTTGTACAATGTCCTATTAGCAACAACCCTCTGTCGATTGTGAAACAATCATTTCCTTTTTTACCGACCGCTCACTATCATGACTTGCTTCTAATTCAAATTATTACTGCAATAGAATTATTTTATCGGAAATTTTATTATTAGAATGCTTCTTCACCCGTCAGAACCTTTGTGTTATCTTTTCCCATGATGTTTTCTCTTACTTCTTTTATATCTGTAACTTATTTTTCCAATTAAAAACTTGTATATATGTTTTTATGACGTAATATCATAGAAAATATTTATTAATTGATATGTTTTCGTACTTTTACTTTTATTTGTTACAATTCTTGCAAAATAATAGCAAATTTATTACAATATCGTGACCTTTCAATATTTGACATTTTTTATGTTATTTTTAACCTTATTTACTAATGACATTTAATTTAAATAAATAAAATAATTTATTTGATGTTGATTATATTTAATATTTCGTTTATTAATTTAATGAGCTCTCTCGTATAAAAGTTAATGAAACAATTGCTGCATAGAAAAAACATTTTCAACTCATGCGAAATGGTAAGAAAGATTGCATTGGATCGATAGATCGTTCTGTAATAATGAAAACAAAGTTATATTTTGTTTATTTATATTCTTTAGCAACATATGTATAGACATTACACGAAACAATTGTTTTATCCATTACTCGTAGCTCCTGAATACTTTGAACAAGAAAGGTAATTCTGTCTAGGTACATTATGATGTTCTATGGTGTTAATCATCAAGTAGGGCATAAGTATATATAATGAATTAATTATATGTACTTATACATTGCAAAAAATAGTAAAAGACACAATAAATGGTTAAAATATATATATGTAATGTAGCCGAATTCACTTCGACTACCAAAAATTATGAATGAAAATAAAAACCTTATCTGATACTCTAATATGCAATGATCAATTTGCAGCGCCAATAATTGTACACGGCGCTCACGATAATTAATGTTGTCCCTTGGCGCGCATTCATTTCATTTACATTATATGTATTATAACAGTATTTTGGAGATAATAAACCGCTTCTGTAATAACTTTTCAATTTTCTCTAGAATGATTTTAAATTAATCTTAACTAAATTCAGTCAGAAGTCTGAATGAGTGGAAAACACTCATTTCATCTGATAATTCGTTGAAAATCAAAGTAAATAAAATAAATATCTTGGCCTGCATTAATTTCTGTATATAGCAAAATATTTTATAGATCAATTAAAATAAAAAATATATTTTTTGTTATAGTTTTCATTTATACTCTATAAATACTTTCTGTACATAATATTATATTTGCATGGTATCAATTATTATAAAGTCACAGATATTTTGTTCAATTTGAAAACAAAAATTTAAATGAATTGATTATTGATAAGGTAATAATACACATTTAATCTTGTGCTACGTGCTTGGAATATTATAAAGTAGATAGGAATGTCGTTTCTTGTACTACTTTCAAGTAAGAGCGATATAGACGGTAACAACGAATTTTATTCCATGGTACATCATAACCTTTGTATTTACTATTTATAGTAGTTTATATTGTAATTCAAATGCATGACAACTTTCATTATTATTCGAAAAAGCAATCTATATAAGTTAAAACAAAACAGATTTGTTTTTAATGAAACTAATTCACATTACAAAGTGCAAGATGTTGGATTCAATAATACATCCGTCGAAACAAGATTATTTGGATCGAAGATTCATTATTAATGTATAATTTATACGTTATTATTAATGTATGATTTGGATAGTATAATTTTATTAAATTTTTAATTATAAATAGGAAGTAATGACAACGACTAAACACTGGAAACAATATCTTTTTTGGTTTGCCCATGAACACGTTGATTTTCGAGTTCCCGTAAGTGTTATTTTTACTTGATTTTCATTTATTAAATTCTTACTTTACGCGTTCTTTTTAATTTATTTTTAGGAAATAAAATCTATTCTTAACATGTTTAATATAAGTACCTGTGCTTATCCCAACCGGAGTTGTGAAGAACATGTAAGAAAATAAAATTATTGTCATAGTTTGTACATTATCTATTTTAAACTAAGGTATATTTGATTTTTATAACAACGTTACAACACACTTGTTATTTCATCAGGAAATTTTATTACAGCCTTATTGGATCGTCAATTTACCTTCAGAAAATATTGCTCATCAAATTGCAAGTAGAGCAGTATCTGTGCGATCCTGTATTGAATTATGGGCACATAGCAAAGATTATGAAGATTTGCATAAAAAATTGAGGAACTATCCTATTACAGAGATTAAAAAGTATGGTGGACCACAAAAATCATTTAAAGTAATAGTTGAAACATTTTGCAAACATTTCTCACAAAGTGAAAAAGTAAATAAAATTGAAGTAAGTACATCAATACAATAATATTAAATAGACTGTTATAAATGTATTAGAAAATTTAATATCATATTAAAGTCTTTTAGTTATTTGCCATTAGAAGGACCAGTGAAATTAGATAATCCAGACACAACATTATGTTACATAGAATTCTATGGATTAAACCCTAATAAGATTCCTGATAAACCTTATGAATTATTTTTTGGTAGATGGGTAATTACTTGTATATTTTATAACTGACCATGTTACTCTGTATAGCCTCCAAACTGTCTATTCTTTTTAGATTACAAATGGGCAAAGAGACTTAATCCAAAAATTATCATTGAAAACTAGAAAATTTATAGGCAATACATCTATGGATCCCCAACTGTCACTAATAATGGCAAATCAAGCTCAAGTTCAGAAAGGGGATATTGTTCTTGATCCATTTGTTGGAACTGGATCTTTGTTAGTCGCAGCTTCCCATTTTGGAGGATACACATTAGGAACAGACATAGATTATTTAATGCTGCATGGCCGTACAAGACCTACTCGAAAAATGCAGAAGGTATAAATTAGACATTGTTTTAATGTTAACATTGTATTAACTAAAACTACTGTTAGATTAGGGAAAAGGATGAAAGCATCGCAGCGAACATGAAACAGTATGGAACAAGTTCATATTATATTGATGTTGTGGTCTCAGATTTTTCTGTTCCTTTGTGGCGTTCTGATATGACTGTAGATGCTATAATTACAGACCGTTAGTATAACTTGTTCTTATCAAATTATATTTCTGTAAGCATAACTTTTATAATAATTATATTTCTACTCTTTATAGCTCCTTATGGTATAAGAGAAGCAACAGAAAAAATTGGTACAACGAAATTAAATCCAATAATAGAAGAACACCAAGCTTCTTCTCATATTCCTTCTAAAATTGATTATGGTTTACCTGAAATCTATAAAGATTTGTTAAGTTTTTCTGCTAAACACCTTAAAATAAAGGGTAGATTAGTATGTTGGTTTCCTTTATTTAGGTAATGGATGTTAATAATATTTGTTACTTCTTAAGTACATACAGAAACATTCAAAGTAATGCTAGAATATTTTTTCAGGGATCAGTATTCAGAAAATCAGTTACCAAATCATCCATGTTTAGAATTAATAGCCAATTCCGAACAAGTACTTAGCAATTATACTAGTCGTAGATTGTTGACTTATATAAAAACAAAAGATCCTAAGGTACGGACGTACAAACATTAGCATATAAAAGTAGGCAATTTTTCAATTATTTCTATTTTTTCTCAGGAATCGGATGAAATAATGTGTGCAAATTTAACTGATTTTCGGACAAAATATTTTGCATTACGAAATGAGAGCCGAAAAGAGAAACGATTGAAGAAGGCCACAGAAAAAGCCAAGAAAAGAGAGCTGTGGGAACAGAATAATAAAGAAAATGCAAACAGATGACTCTGTAATTTTATGTGTAATAAACGTTTATTATTTTTTTTTAAATCATTGTCTAAAAGTATAATTTATTTGAATTGTTGCCTTTTACGTTGATTTATCCATCTAGAGAATCATAAAAGACGTGCGGGAATGTCTAATATATTTACTAATGAAGAGATGAATCTGAATAAAAAAACAATAGAAGTCTTGGTATTTTGAACTGATCCTCAGTAGTTCTATTAAATTATAACTGTTACAAAGTTATAAAGTTGTCTGTCTTATGGTCTAATATTGTTTCCTACAATAAAGTGTTCTCCAATTGGATTTCATCAATTATTTAACTAATAAATTATGCTATATTTTACGTAGCAAATATTTCAATACATTTGTATTAGTTTGCTTCACCATTCATAGGATGATTATGTAAATATGTTTCAATTAATCACAATAAATTGCATTTGTATATAAATTGTGAGGAATGAATGGTACATTTACATATGTTACAATATTTAAACATATACATACATATAAATTTGCATATCTAAACATCAAGTTGCAATTGTCCTAGTAATCCTTCCACTGTTTTAATTTGTTCATCTGAAACTTTTGATTGATATTGCTTTTCAATTTGATTAGCTGCCCATTCGCTTAATTTTATAGCATCTTTTTTCTTAGATGAAGGGCATTTAGGAGAAGTAGCAATATTATTTGTTGCCTGAAAATATATTGTAAATAATCAATTGTAAATAATAAAAAAAATACAGAAATGTGTCAGTCATTTTATTCTTACCAATAATAAACCGTAAAGGGCTCGGATATTATTTGGATTTAATTTTGCGGCTTGACAAAAGTAAGCTTTAGCTAATTCCATATTGTCAAATCCACCCTAAACATAGGTATATTTTTACTTATGAATTCTGTGAAAAACAGGCAAAAAACTGATTGGAACCTCTGTTACCTGAGAATATTTTATTTCTGCATATCTTTGGTAAATTAGATGACTGTGTGGATTATATAATATAAGTTCTTCCATACAAAATGCAGCTTTTGAATATTCTTGTTCTTGCAGGTATAGATCGCATAACTCGTGCCAGGCTTCTTGATCGCTCATAAATCTATGAGTGATGAAACATCCATAATTAATACATTATCTTACGATACATTATACTTAACATTAACAATTAAATTTTACTTTTTCAAATATTCTGTAAGCTCTTTAATGGCTTCTGGTATTCGACCTCTTGCTTTTAATATAGCTATACGCCGTTTTCTTGGTGCAGCATTAGTTTCGTCTCTTTTAATAATAGATTCTAGCACTTCTAGTGCTTCATCATACCTATAAATGTATTTGATTTTTGTTAAACAATATATTAAAATTGGTTAGGACTTTAATCACGAGTACTTTAAATAAATGAATTTTACATTTCCAATGCTTCCAGGTGCATGGCATGATATTTGTGAACCCTTAAGCTACTAGGAAACTGTTTCTTCAATATCTTAATACAATATTCGGCTAAAGAAAAATGATAGCAATCCAATGCTGCTATACAAACTTGTTCCAGAACCAGGTACTCTATACAACAATTTGCATAAATTATTATACAGTTAATACCATTATTTTCACGTAATTGGTTTTTATAAGAAAATTATTATACTTTCATTTCCAAGCTGATCAATTTTAGCCATCAATTTGGTTTTCCATAAATCTACAACATCTCTACTCCGTCGTTCACCATCTTCCCTCCATGTTCTAAACAAGTCTCGTACTTCTACATATATTATAATTTTGTAAAAATCTTTTTATGAAAACTTTTAAGAACAACTTTTATAAATATGTTACGTAGAGTTATTGTAATAGGTTACTACTAAACTCACCTTTCCACGATAACTTGTCATATTGGTTTGCCATTGCTAAATCTTAAAAAAATGAATTACTATAATATATTATAAACGCATATTTAAGAAAAAATAAAAAAAGGTTTATTAATTTTAATTTTTAAAAGTATATTGCAACATTATTTTAATAAATGTCTACTACTTTTTAAAATTACAAATACAAGAATTTTATTTTGAACAAATTTCGAGTGCTATAAATATTATCCAGACAAATAATAATTATGTTTTAATAAGTAATTTATAATTTTTTGATAATCTGCTTACACATCATAACCTAAATGCCAAAAAGAAACAATATCAACAAACGTATTAGAACATTAATCTAAGTATGGATTTAAAAAAATGTCTTAAAATACCCATACAACAATGTTTAAGTCTAAGCATAAAATGTTACTCCAAATTTATTGAAGTTACTGATATTTTGCTGTTCAATATAAATTTACAACATGAAATATTATAAGCATTAAACTTACAGATGAAGAATCAGAAGAAAGAAAACGTTATAGTAAAATATTGATTGAAAATAATATACACGTAATTACGAATCCGAGTGTAGTTCATGTAGGTTACATAGAGCACTAGAAAAGTGTTTCTATCAGCGATCGAAAACTATGTACACATAATGTAACTTTAGACAGGTATATATTCATTCATGATTCTGAAACATATTGTCACTTTAGAATATTAAAGCAAAATATAACAAGAATATTTAATATGTTTCACAGTTATTTTTGCAAATTTATTAAAATAAAATATTGTCATGTCATTCTTCTTAACTATCAATTATATATATATATACAGATTTAAAAAGTTGATTAACATAAACTTTGAGTTTCTCTGTTACTTAAGAATCTTAATTTCCATTATAATGAATATATTTTATGAATATTGAAAAAAATTGCTTTAGGGTAATTAACTTATGATTAATAGTTATTTGTTTAGAATTTGTATGTTCTTATAAGTGAATAAATTGTGTTCGTACTTCCTAATAGACATTTGATAATATGTCGGTATTATGGGCCTGACACGTGTGTCGATGAAGTATTCATAAAACTACTGAATTCTTGTCCTGCTATCTTTACACGAATTCTGATTACGTCTAACAAAAATACGTGCATTAATAGCCTGACAGTATCTATGAGTTCACGTACGGCTGTTTCATTTTTACAGCTGATTTATCAACATATGTATCCTGAATATACCGCATTCTGACATGTTATGATTCGGTTAAATGTGATTTACCAGCGGAAAGTTTTCCACTGGTGATTGTTCCTGCGAGATCATAAGTAAGAGAGGAATTATCTCTGCGCCGGGAATAGCTGCAACTTTGCGGGTGTACAATCGAGATCATTATCAGATTAATTCTGACAGTCGTATATCGTGAAACGCAAAACGTGTCAAAAAGACGCTTGGACGCCATGATGGTAGGTGGAACCTGTTATCACTAGTCTGCCGATTGGACTTCATAACGAATTTAATACATTGCAGTTAAATTTTTTACACTGTTATAAATATCTTCTGCACGTTTTATTTAATCAAGGAAAATGTTTCAGGACGGCATATGCGATACTGCCGATATTTTAAGTAACGTTCCTCCTAAAAAGGTATTCGTATTGTTTTTTTTAAATTGGTTTTCTTATCGTTTTGTAATGATAATAATTGATTAAATTTTTGTTCCTATATTTTTGATGTTTGTGCCTTATGATTTTACGGTTCTAATTTGGAATATTTATATTTACAGACAATTCATGCAGATAATGTAGACCTTTCCGATAAGTCACTGCAAGTGGACATTTCAGATGCTCTTAGTGAAAAGGATAAAGTGAAATTTACTGTACATACAAAGACTACTTTGCCTGATTTTCGAAAGCCAGATAATTTAGTTGTGAGACAACACGAAGAATTTGTATGGTTACATGATCGATTTGAAGAGAACGAGGAATATGCTGGCTATATTGTATGTTTTATTGTCTTCATACAAGTTTTGAATCTTAAGTGTATAATAATAGCAGTAAGTAATGTACAGAGAAAATATATATTTTAGATCCCTCCTTGTCCACCACGACCAGATTTTGATGCATCTCGGGAAAAGTTACAAAAACTTGGAGAAGGTGAGGGTAATATGACTCGTGAAGAATTTAACAAAATGAAGCAAGAATTGGAAGCGTAAGTCTCAATGAAAATTTATTTGAAATTTTAATGTGCACTTAGTATGATTATTAACTTTTGTTTTATAATGTTATACTTTTATTACAGCGAGTACTTAGCTACATTTAAGAAAACTGTTGCCATGCACGAAATGTTTTTAACTAGACTAGCAAACCATCCAGTTTTTCGAAACGATCATAATTTAAGAGTGTTTTTAGAATACGATCAAGATCTTTGTGTAAGAGGTAAAGATTTTGACGTTTGAATAAACTTTTATTTTGTTTTATAGTGACATTACAATGCACATATGATTAAAAGCAACAAAAATACACATTTTTCATTTTATTTTAGGTAAAAACAAAATGGAAATGTTTGGGGGTTTAGTGAAATCTTTCTCAACCACTACGGATGAATATTATTTATCTGCAACAGTAAAAGATGTAAATGATTTTTTTGATCAGGAAATGTCGTTTTTGCAAATATATCATCAGAATTTGAAAGAAGCAACATCTCGTGCAGATCGCCAAACAGCTAAACATAAAGATGTGGCGGATTCCTATATAAAGATTTCTACAAATCTTTTACAATTAGCTACAATTGACAATGGTAAACTGGAGAGATTCTTAACGAAAATTGCAGAAACATTTGAAAAGCTAAGGGTAAGATGTTTTGATTTTAATTTTTCTAATTTATTTATTCGTAGTAGTTATATTTTTAATGTTGTAATGTAATAGAAAGTTGAGGGCAGAGTAGCATCTGATGAGGACTTAAAATTATCAGACACTCTTTGGTACTACATGAGGGATACTGCTGCAGCCAAACGGTTGCTTTTTAGAAGATTGAAAGCTTTACATGCGTATGAATCTGCGAATCGCGCTCTTGAGAAAGCTCGTGCCAAAAACAAAGACGTTCATGCTGTGAGTATATTATTTTTCACAAATGGGTTCAAATTTTAAATACATAAAATGGGAAATATATTTCTTTCTGAAATTAGGTATTATTTACAATTACAATTTGCTGTTTGATACAGTGTCCATAAAAAAGAGAGTATTTTGTAAACTGCTAGTTGAATATCCGTAATGATTACATATTCGTTAATTGAAGTTCTTAATATTATTAATACATGAGACTCTATATGTATAATATGGAATGTTTAATTTAAACATGTATAGAATCTAATAAAAAAATTTAATTTTTCTTGCTCATCAAGGCAGTGGAGGTTGCTGAGGTGTGTTCTTCTGTATTTGTATATTTGCCGCCTTGCTATAGTATACTATTTTTAATATTATCATTATTTTTAATATTTTAAAATATCAAATATAAAATTGTATACAAAAATTTTGAAGTAGATTTAGTATGTATGTAATATATATTAGTCTTTTTATGTTGGAAGAAATGAATACATTGAACTTGATGATTATGCATCAAATTAGTATATTAAATGTTATGCATGAGCAGAATTTGCATGTATTTTTATCTTTTTTCGCAATGGCGTGTTTTGACAGTTGTCAACTTCGACAATTAATTTAAGAATTATTTTGTATTTGAAAGCGTTAAAAAATGTATTATAAATGAAACAAATTTTTTATAAATTAAAAAATAAAGTAGGTTAGTTGAAGTATCGATAAATTAAAAAAATTTAATTTTGATGATGAAATTTAAACAACTGCATGCTTCATTTATTTTTATGTATGTTACGAAGCAGGAACATTTGATATTGTGTTAAATAACTTCATATGTGTAAAAGATTAAAATTGTTTTTGTTTCTCTTATTATAGGCAGAAAAGGCTCAAACAGAAGCGTGCGAAAAATTTGAGCAAATGTCAGAGAAAGGAAAAGAAGGTATATAATATATATTTATCATTTTTAAAAAATTTATTCAATATAATAAATTGATTTTAACTTCAATTACAGAATTAACGGATTTCAAAACGAGGAGAGTAGCTGCTTTTAGAAAGAATTTAATTGAATTAACAGAATTAGAAATAAAACATGCGAAAGTAAGGGTACTTCTCTTTCTTGAATGTGATTGCATATTTTTTAATGTTTTATAAAATATTTTTGTTTCATTTACAGGCACACGCGGAATTGCTCAAAAAGTGTTTATCAGTTTTACGGGAACAGTGATCCAGATTGATAATTCTCGTGGTAAAGATTACCATGTAATCTATATGAAGATAACAATTTATTTAAAAACCATAGTAAAGTAATGGTACTGTAAAATATATATTTTTTGTTATCTAGATTTACATTACTACGATAAAAATATCGTATTATCAATTGCAAAAGGACTCCACGTGTAATTCATTGAACGATGTTATTTACTATTTTCAAATTGTAAAAATTTATGTACATGTTACAACTGTTTATGTTTGAAAAGCAGTTATTTTTTTCATAAAACTTTCTTGATGAAATATTTGATTCAAAATGGCGTAGCAAAGATACATTTTATCGAGTTCTTTTGTAAGTTTAAGTTGATAATCTGTTATAAGATCCTTTATATTATATATGTATATCTGTCATGTATATGTACAAGGTGTTTTTTAACGTGTGTTACATTCAGGAAATAAGAGATTCATGGTATAGAGGTAAGATCTAAAAGTACGCGTATATTTTTGAAAAAGGAAGGGAAAATAGAAACGGTTTCAAGGATTTGAAAGTTTTATAAAACTAATTCTTAAGGATAAAGGAAGTAGTCAGTAGATATTTAAATGCTCACGTAAAGGTTAAAAAGTAACAAGTTTCGTGAAATGATATTCTAAAATATTTTTGTTTGAAAACGGCAAGAATTACATTTATTTTCAACGAATCTTTTATTTCCAAAATTTATCACATTTTATGAAACGTCCTGTATATTACAACTCTATGCATACGTGTACTTGCGTATTCGTATGAACGAGTTACCTAAAGGGGAACATTTGAATCACCTTGTTGATTTTGAAAGCTAAACAGCAAAATTATAAACCTGCATAATTGATTTGGAAGGTGAGGTGTATAATGATAGAGAAAGTATTATTATGAAGTAATTTTCTTTTTTCCAAATTTCTCAGGTTAACTAAAGAATTAACATAAATTAGTACATACGAACTTTTAAGATTTTTATAGATAGATTAGCATGTTGTATACTGTTAAATCAATTTACAATATTTTGTTTGTTCAATAAATTATAGTTGTATAAAGGTAATAATGAGTAAAGGGACCTTGAAACAAGTTACTTATCTCCTAGTTGTTCAGAAAGAATTTGATGCCCAAGAAGAATAATCTCAACCAAAGATAAATATTAAAATCTTTGTAAAGATTCATGAATTTAGTGGTTTTAAAGTATTCTTTACTATAAACAATCGCAGACAATATTTCAATTCATTATTTAAATGATCAGTCAAGAATTTTATCTATTATCTTATTCTAATAACAATATATATTGTATTCCAAGAAATGTTTTAAGCAAACGGTATACATTGTTGATCATTTCTAAACTCATTTATCATGAATTGATTAACTTTCGTATCACGTTATCGTATGTACATAAAACGCACTTCCATAAGTACTTTACTTTTTCTGAATAATTTCAGAGAAAAGTGTTGTCTTGTTCATATCATATTATCTCCTTTTCATAGAAAGGTATAAATTTTGCAAAATAAGGAATGATTGTATTAGCATGGTATGAATGAAGTATAATGAAATTGTTCCATTTGTCATGTTCGCAATTGCATATTCAGTGATATTTCTTTGATACTGATGATGATGATTTTGCTCCATATTTTATTAGAATTTTTTTACTTTTTATATGATACTTGTTACTTCTCTTAATTTTAAGGTTTCAAAGAAACTTTACTGTTTATTAAATATGAGAAATTACGATCGAAAAATAAGTGAAAATACTTAATCATTTTCCCCTTTTGTCTATATTATATTTTTTTTTATTTCATTAGAAATCAGTGCAAATTTGCATTCTGCATTGTATATATGGAAATAAAACTATATTGTACCTGTACATATATTCGTCATCGTCCATTGCATAAACCACTTCATAATAAATTTAAAATTAATTTTTGAAACTCATACATTGGTTGTCTAATGAACATCTGAGTTACTTCTGTTAGAAGTAAGAAAAAATGTCCAAGAGAGATTTATTAATATTTTTCGATTTCTATAAACGTTTTTTTCGCGAGATTAATGAAATTATGTTGTTAAACAACTAGAAAGCATGCTTCTATGAAAAGAAAAAATCATGGTCTCACCTTTCCTTATCCTGAAGGATAGTCTAGGATCTTCTTTTCAATTACATGATAGAGAAATCCAACAAACTCAGAGTTAATATAGAATTTTAACATATATATGTAAACATACAGATGTGAAATTTATCTTCATTGTTAAACAAAAATTATTTTTTACAATGATTACTATTTAACATAATATATTGTTTAGAATTCTATCGTGAAATTATTTAATTAAAAGAACAAGAAGGATATATATAATGAATGATTTTTTTATTGGATTTCGATTAAATCAATTTTACCTGCTCCATAATTTTGCATTGTTCAAACTTTTAAAAATTAGTAACTGCTAATAATCCTACTGAATTTTCTTTATATGACTGATTGTTGCCTCTGCCATCCACATACAAAGAATCTGAAATTTTCATTAAGTCAAGGATGTCTGCACCATGGGTGAGAGAATGTTTCTCGATTGAGGACTCTGCAATTTCATTGAAATTCGTTCAGACTGTCGGCGCACTCACCTTCGATATTTTTCGTGGGATTGCAAAGGGTGCCGCGGTTACTGGAAGAATATCAAAAAAAGGAACGCAAAGCTGTCGTAAAACTCGCGATGTCTTTCGTATTGATTTATGAAACGAAACAGTTGCTTCGTGTGGGATGAACACGGCTTGCTGTAAGTTCCATCGATCGGCTTCATTTCGCTTTATACCAGTAAAAATCCAGTAAAAACCGTTCGCCTTCTATTTTTGTCAAAGATTTCACCGTTTCGAGTGATTTCAATGCATCCTCCGTAATTCGTTGTAACGACTATAATTACAAGTGGAATGGTCACTGTTGTTTTTGTTATATACTTACAAGTTAATTTTGATTTGGACGACCAACTACTCGAGGAATAAATAAATCTTATAAGAATCGTTTCATTTGAACGTTTTTGAGCGTGGACATGTAGGTTTTGTTATTTTGAATTGGGAACCTATGCCTCGATATAATTAATTTAATTTGATTAATGGCATAATACTTGGTTCAGTCATAAATAACTTCCACTTTATTATTTTAGGTTTCATTGCATTGAAAATAATTGAAGATTTATTAAATGTTATTACATGCTTCTTATTAATAATGACAGATCGTGGATCGTCGAGCTTATTCTTTCCAATAAAGGTTTTATTCAACTACGATTAAATTGAATACTTTACAGGTTTTTGTCAAAATTTTTATTTTATCGTGTTCTGCACAGTCGAACATGCTATAAACTCATAAAATCTGTAGTCTAATCGTTACAATTTAACAGTCATCGTTAAACTTAAAAAATTGTATTGTTACTATCGTTTTATTAGAATTTTTGTGTTCCCGTCTTTAATGGCGGAAGTTATTTCTGACACAACCGAATATTTTGAGACATGCTTCCGTTGTTTCGTTTGTTGCAAAGACAGGTTTCAAACTCTACATATTGGACGTGACCACCAGGTTTCGGTGTACCCCACGATTTCCGTTCTGCGAAAGTGTTGAATCCGTGCAGCACTTATACATGAACCTTTTGATTACGGGTCGCCCGTAGTAACTCGTCACACTTAGAACGATAAAGTTGGTCTTCGAAAGTAGTCAGACTTATTATACATGCATGCAATCACGCATTCAGAATAATTATTCCACGCGGTTCGCCCTAAATCTTTTTTCGAACGGAAGTTAAAAAAATCATTCATCGCAAGCCGTTAACGACTCTCCATTCTAAATTATTCATCACAGTCTCCAGTGCATTTAACGATCACATCCTCGGAAGAGGCACGCTGTTCATAATAATTAGGCTGCGGAATTTATACGTCTGTAATCTATAACAGATGCAGCCGCCATTTGCATATTTCCATCATTTCGAATTTACGTCAGAGACATTTCCAGTCGTGTAACCACTGCGTGATTGTCGCGTACAATGGAAACCGTGCTAATTTATTCAGAACTAAAGTCGTTAATGCCCGACGAAGGAATTCGTGTTTTAATTTTGCATTTGATTTTAAAGGCGAATCGCGCATGATATATCCAAACCGAAAAACATCGTCGTCCAGACTATCAACGAGGATACAATCGTCGAGTGACCTGGGACTCGTTTCCTCCTTGTTTCCGTTTCTTTTCTTTCATTGCCCACGTGTTTCCCTTTTCTCCGTCCGGTCGAGAGTTCAAGAGCGGTGCGACGTGTGTGATGCGGACACTAAAGAACTCGGTATTTCAATTGTGGATTTTATTAAAATTCGGTTTCAACGTATGCGAATAAATGTTCGAAGTAAGACGCACAAAGGTTCATAAAAAAGCGGGCGAGAACGTTAAGTAACGTACAAAAGAAACTCGTTTTAACCATGGGGGCCGAGCGCTCGCGCGTCGCGCGAGTATGCTGCGTACTCGAAAAAAACGATTATGACAATAGGATAATAACAACGATAATAATAACCACAAAAATAAAAGAAACGAAAAAACGGAAAAAATAAAATCGAGACCTCCGATCGACGATGAGGAACCGATCGCGACTTTTATAAACTTCTTACGCAGTAGAACTTCGTACTTAAGGATTACGTCGGTTGTGATGATACAATTACGACATGCCGTAAATACACAGAGACCTTCTATGGTAGACACTATCGATGTCGAGACACGCGCGGCGAACGTGTAAAACGCGTCGCGCAGATCGAATTGTTCGTTTCGAGTAATAAAGACTTTTTATTACCTATTATCCTACTGATCTTACGTCTCTATCATCATTTGTTCTCTCTCGCATATATCCGGAAAGAGATCGTCGACGAATGCTCTCTTTCCTTTTCTCTCTCTCTCTCTCTTTCTCTCTCGCTCTCGCTCTCTCTCTCTCTCTCTCTCTCTCT